CTGGAACAAATTCATGAATGATGGTTTCGAGATAATGAAACGAAATACTGGGATCCGCGCAACACGGGATGTCGGATGGTGTAAAAATAACTAATAAAGATAAATGAGCATATTGGTATAATTGTGGATAATTAGGTGTCGTGGACGTATGAAGTCCTGAGTGAGAGCGAATAAGAGGTCTGGTATTCCAATAGCTCCATTACTACACCACTGAACTCCCACTTAATGGTTTTTCGTCGAATCCTAGCTTCTGCGTCACTCATGGAATCGGTCATCGAATCAAAATTTCTGTCAGACATTCGCGAATGTTTGCAAAACTCTGGACCGCAGGTGTCTATGGTGGGGAACGAACGCGCTATTGTCCTTTCCGGGGAGTAACGCGTTCACCACCACACCATGCGGGTCCTTTGTTTCGCCTGTCTGTCAGCTATTTCTATCGATCTTTGCCACAGCAATCCGCGCTCCAGAGTTTTGCAAACATCTCAGCAACGTTGTGGTTGTATTTCGCTTAGTACCCTGCCGCGAAATTATAGTAGGCAGAAAATAAAAAGGTATAACATTCGCGAATGTGTTCGAATATATCATTGCTGAGAATGGATTCGTCGCAAACTTTCTCCTTTCTTCTTTTATAACGGTGGCAGTATCTCTTTCTTAGTGTTCTGAAAGCCAAACGTCTCAAAAAAATATGCGGTGTTCTAATCCGATGCAAAAACCAGAGACCATTAACCTAAAACCATCTCTATTTCATCTTGAATACCGAGTTTCATTAAACTTCGCTAACTAATAAATAGTTCTCTGCATGATTGTGCTGACACGAAGTTTGTACGAAAGCCTTTATTCGGCTAACATTTGGGCACCTTCGCCTTCCTCAGAGTTGCGTTTATACCAGTCGATGGTCCACACCTTGCCCTTGTCGTTATGTGGGATTCCACTCAATACAATAACCAGCAACCATACTGCCACGATGTCCAGCTGTATAACATTGACGGATATCGACACAGCTCTGAAGAAGACTAAGGCGCCGAACTGTTAGGCGAACAAAAGTTTTCATACCAACATCGTGTCACCTCAGTCATGTGTAAAACTACTGATCTCTGATGAAAACTGGTGTAGAAGGGTGCTATCGATCTCTACACGTTACTTGATCGCAAAACGACAGCCCTATGGAGGGTGACTAATACCCAGTCATCCTGGACGTGACAGCCTGTGAGGAGCTTACACACACAGTACGGACCAGCTGAGAGGCAGAAACACGACCCACTTGATATGACTCACTGATTGTGCAAAAACTGGCAGCTATGAAGCGATTACAGAAAGTGCATGACAGATGAATGGAGGCATACGGACACTCGATATTTATAGGGAATGTTGTCTATAGGTCCAGTCATAAGATGTGTCCATTCAACAACTCCGTCCTAATCATGGCGAGTAGACACGTTGTATTACTTAAATGATGACACGATCGCAAAATGCGTCGCAATCACGACGACACTTGCTGCGCCGGCCACGATACTTCAACATAACGGTGATCCGCATGGGACTGGCGAGGAGTCGTGCTGTCATTGTCTGCGATTGGAATCCAGGTTTCAAGTTTCATCTGTTGGAGCTTCGACAGTGTTTGCCTAAGTAGATTGAGTACTAGTTTGTCTATTTCCAAACTCCGAAAGTAAGTTTATCAAAAATTTTGACAGGATAACGGCTGTCACGAACATTAACGGTGAATTTGGAAACATCATCATGTCTTTCTAGATAGAACCCTGCTTCAAAGAAGGCGGAAGAATTTTTTCCGCCTTCTTCGAAATCTGTTATCGTCTTTCTCCAGCTTCTAAATATTATCAGCATGTGTCTCCTGAGCTTCTAAATTTTGATGATTTTCCCGTCCGTTTGTTCAGTCGCACTGAAGTATATTCCTTCAAGCTTTGACGAGCCTGAGAGCGGATCCCACGAATTTGCAAACAGCGGAATGAAAGCGGTCGTTTGACTGACTTTATTTTTTGAACACTGTTTTTAATAGTGTTCGCAGCAGGAAAAAAAGGAATCCTGCTTAGTCATTCGCTTCATTTTGCTCGAAATACGAGACTCATCAGTAAAAAAGCGTGAAAAAGTATCATGGTGGAATAAGGCTTGTTCTTTGTTGGCACTGGTCTGTAAACTCTAGTGGCAAATAATAAATTTTCAACTAAGAGAGTTTAAATCCCACGACCGGCTTTCTGTTAACCTTGGCATTGATCATGTATTCTTCGTATTCTTGTTGAGCAAACGTCAGGTGTTCTTCTATTCTTTATTAACGAACAAGCTGTCGTTTAGGCGGATTTCGCCGAAGAGAGTTTACCACGGACTGAGATAAGTTGGTGCAGAATAGAAAGGCTTGATTTGAAAATGAATAATATACAGTAAATAGAAGTTAAGCATTGTGATTTGGACTGCAGCTTCAGCTTAATTAGGTTCAATTTGTGTTACCCGGTTTGTGTTACCCGGATCATTCCCGTTGTCAGGTGATTGCTCACGGCAGCTTTAGGTTAGAAACTGTTTACAAGGAAGGTAAACCGAAGGCTTTGGTGGTGTAGTAGATAACACGAGAGCCTCTGCAATGCGTGATCGCTGATTGGAAGTTGACTTGGGATTACGAGTTTTGCTCGTAATTCAGGAACATTATGGAATGCTAGATTACGCACACACATATGTATATATTTATATATACATATATATATGCATACATACATATATATATACATATATATACAATATATACATATATATACACATATATACATATATACATACATATATATACATATGTATACGTATATATACATATATATACACATACGTGGGACATATATATCTCATTCCAATAGATGTTTTCATTATCCTTGAAAATTTTTATCCTATTTGAAACAGCATTCATTCTTTTAGGTTCGAATAGCATGAAAATCAATACTACTTTATAATTGGTAGGGGAAGATAAGAGAAAGTGCCACGTAACGGCGTTCCATGAGAAAATCTTCTGTGGATTGAGATTTTGCGGTTGTATTTGTAGTACATTGTTACATTGGTCTTCATTTCCAGCCATTTATTCAATTTCCACGCTAAGAAGGGACGCTACTGTCTACATTAGTGGACACTGTGGAAAAGATAGATTGACTGAAGATTGTTGCACCCGATGTTCTTTGTCGTACCAAACAGGTTTTCATCTTTTTCAAAATCTTTTGTTCACATTTTGTAATAAAATCCAATCCACTGTAGCGAATGCACATAAATAGTCTTATGCTGCTGAAACCTTGCCGAATGTTAATCGTTACGCCGAGTTTCGGTCGGTTATCAGAGCGACAACGATGGCCTTGATAACTCTGCGAATAGGGTTGTTCTGCCCGCCGGCAACTATCATATTTTGTTATTTAAGAAACTTCTTTACTATCAAAATTGAAAGACTCCGGTCTCAATAATCAGTTGTGTTTGACACGACAGTTCTAACAATATCATATGGCCTCAGTTTTTTGCCTACTAACACAGATGCCGTTACGCAGAGATTCCTTAGAATACATTTAATTGCTACTAAGTTCACTGGGAGAGCTTTGCGTTTTCTCGATTTTGTTTACTCTTCCGCTCAAAAACACCTGGATACTTCTTGAATTCGTGAGTGAATGTGATATTCTCAGATACTGTAGATATTTAGATGCCTTAACTTTTACAAATATTGTACTGACTCTACATGTTTTCGTTACCTACCACAATACTTCAAGTGGTCAGAAAAATTTCGCTGAACCATCATTCGTTAACTTTCTGGTATTGTTCGCAGTCCAGTGCCCTATTAAACTGTGCTTGCTACATATTAAAATCATTCTCATGGTTATCATTGCTACCCTGGCAGCGAGTGACACCTATAGGCGTCATGACGACTTTGCGGGAGTGGACAGTAAGACAAATATAGGTCCCATTTTCCTTTTGGCAGTTTATTTAGAGCATAGAACTACTTCTCTATCCTTTTTTTATCAAATGATAGGTTGCGGGACGCAGATTTTTGGTTGGAAGTTATTCAGGAAGATCTCCGCTCTACACCTAGCAATATACAAAAACCGCCCTCCAAACGAGTTCAGTAGCCAGAAATTTAGGTGCTTTTCCACTACTACTTCATTTCTAAGTGAATTATATTTGTCGCAAGTACAAAAAACAGCTGGAATAGAGACCCGTACTAGTTCGCTCGACCGACTTTCTATTAACGTCGGCATTGATTAATTAATTCTCTGTCCTGAGTTCGATGTGATTGAAATCTCGGTTAAGCATTTTCTCTGTTTGGTTATGGAATATTTGGCCTGGTAAATTGCTGTCAACTTCACCTTTCCAGGCTTTAAGGAAGACGAAATCCGCCGAAACGTCAGCTTGTTCTTGAATAAACAATAAAGTAACACCTCGTGTTTGTTCAAGAAGAATATACAGAGACCCGCATGTTGCAAAACGCTTCCAGATGCTGACAATAATGTGTTTGTATTATGAAGCATAGTAACATATAGCGGCATGCCACTTGACGATGGGGCAGTCTTTTCTACAATCCACTCGTGTTTACAACCTACGAATTCCTCTTGCTATCAATAAATTATTACTGCGTTGTATTTTTTCTCAGTAATCGCGAGGTTGCTCAACGTACGTATACTTACATGCAAAAACACGTACACAGCACAACGGTAGCTGACGTTTCGGTTATAAATGCGTCGTATTTATAATCCAGTGCCGAGGTTAATAGAAAATCGATCCCGAAAACTGTGACAAAAAATTATTGTTTGTTTTCAAAAAACCAGGAAGTCCCTAAAGGCTGAAAATTAGTCCTCGTTCAGTTCGCCTTCTCGTAATAATGTTGAAAACCTGTGATAACCTGCAACGTAGTTCTTACTCCGTTGACGTATCACGTTTTTCAAATTAGAAGTGCTGGAAATGTCAGGCAAGTACGGACCGTGTACTAGACCCTATACTATTTCTCAAGCTATCCGTGTTTATTTCAGACGATGATCACCTCTAAATTCACAATGCTGTTAGTAGCAATATTTGGTTCGTGTACATGGATTGGAACGAATTCAGTCTGGATGCAACTCCCGCTGTTCACCTCGGTGCTGCCAGAACACTGGAATTTGCCTGCCTATCTTGCAGTTGTTGTACAGGTAATCGGAAAATCACCTGCGACCTTGCTAACCATTAGACTGAGCGGAAATAATAAACACAAAATATGAATGTGTATAAATATTATCTTTATGGTCATCACTAAGGGCACATGTGGCGCAGTGGTTGGAGGCGCCCTGCAACACATGCGTGGAATCGATTTCCGCACCCATGGCCCACGAAGCCTTCCATCCCTCCGAGGTCTACAAATCGATGCCAGAGCTGTCTGGGATGATAGCAGCACTAGCTCGATACACCGGTAGGCCACCGTGAGTTATTGTAAAGGCCAGATATGCATTCAATCACCTCCAAACGATGCTTAATGAAGTCGAATGCATGGCGCATCCATAAGGGATTGGTTAAGGCCGAGAGTTTAACCTTTTTTATCCTTTATGGTTAATACTGTAACAGAAGCGCGATGTCTGAACTGCTTGCTCTGTTTGTCAGCAAACAATATATTTTCGGCAGGTCTTGTGAAAATGACGGTTATCTAGTTTATTTTTAATTAACGCGACTTAATATGAATAAACACTTATTTCCGGAAGGGCTTTTCAAATACGTCACCAGCTTTGAGACTCATTAGAATATTCTTATCTCCTATTATTAGGTCTTATCCAACGGTTTACGCCTCATACTGGGTCGAAGGTGTCCTTGGATGTCTGCCTGCGATATATAGCGGTGGAGTCGTCACCCCAGCAGACCTCCCATGCTGAGATTTTTATGCTGAGGCCTGCGTAACCATTAAAAGGTTATCCAAGTATCCAGATTTCACTAAATGTGCTCAATTAGAGCCGATCGTTATGCTACAGTATGCTCCGATTCAATACGGAACGAATTTTTATTTCCCTGAGTCTTTTACCCGAATCCTTTTCAGATAATGTAAAATTTTGCTCCACAAACCAGTTTGCTTTTCGAGTAATCTGTCATGTGGAATCTATAACAGAGTATGCCAGCGGTAATATCTTGCGCGAAATGACATAAATCCTGGTTCAATAAATGTTAATACTCATCTTACTATACTATGCAAGTTTCTGTGGCAGATTCAGATCTTTCGCTGTCCCTAAAATTTTTAACGGTATGAGTACGAGTGTCTGGTACGCACTTAGATGTTTCCCTTCCAACTTTTTTGTCTGTAGCACTTCACCCTAGTCCTATTGTTGAACAACTCGATAATGCATCAGGGAAATCAATGACATTAGAGTCATCGTTGCAGTCGAATATACAAGTGCTTAGCTAGTTATTAAGGCAACTGAAACTGACTTATCTGTCCTAACCATAGAGCAGATTGTAGGCAATGATCACAGTATTTTTTACCTTAGGAGATCATTTAGTTGGGAAGTACACGTATGAGTACCTAAGTATTTTGCAGTTAAGGCAGCTGCTGGATAAGGTTTAAGATGCGTGACATTTTAGTCGTTTTTTCCCATTACTATAAGATCTGTAGCAATCGTGGTGGGACCGTTCAGGCCTGCAGGGGTTACGACTCTCTAAGATCATCAAATTGCTGTTGTTTGCGAATAAATAGCAAAGAAATTTCGTTCGTTCTTACGGAAAGACAAATTCTTTTTGCCGATTTTTCAGTGTGGCTGTATTGCTCCGCTCATCTATACAATTGTCCACAAGCGATGTAAATCTGTTGAAATCTCGCAGACACGTCTTATAATTTCGTTTTTGATAGTGGCATGCATTTGCCAACTAGGTGAGATGCTTTTTTGAAGATATCAAAGTCGAGGATGTTTTTGGCTTTAAGATTTTAAGCGTTTTTGGAATTTTAAAGCTCAGTTTCCTTGTGCTTCTTAACCGTTCCCATTCGATTGGTTGCCCAATGAGGGAAACCTTAACGATCGAGGATGGCTTTGATTACCTACAGCGTATTTCTAACACATGTGCAATTATTCGGTAATCTCCTCCAGAATTCTAACATTTTCTAGGAGATGGAATGACGATTATCGTTTTTGAGTTGCAACTGGTCACCGAAAACTGTTTCGTTAAAAACGTAAGCAAACGATAGTCTCAGCGAACGGTGTTCGCAGAATAGTTCATGTGGTATGGACGCCGCCACCTGTGTTATAGAATTCTTTGGCAAATCTTCTTTGTAATATGTGTTCAAGTGTTGTCATGTCGGAAAATACTGTTTAGGATAGGTTTCTGGAAACTGTCCTGTGAGTACTGTCTGGTGGGTAAGAACTGTGGACTTTTGAGGTTAAACGGCAGCCACGACAGAAATTGCAGTTAAATCGGATGACAATGGAAGCTTAGTATAATGCTTTTTCCAAATTTCACTAGCAGTGGAGAATTTCTTGTCCTAGGCTCATGTAGGAAATTTCTCGTTCAGGATGCCACTCACTCTCACATGGTTGGCCGCTTCAGCGTGTTTCCATTTCCAGCAACAGCATAGGCGAAAATTCGATCATTGCAGACTGACCTCATTGTACTACTAAACCCTTTAAGCTAGACTATTCGGATGGTTGTGGGTGAAAATCACGTCAAATTGCTGCCCTCTCAAGTCAGAATTCACCAACGATGTGAGGATCGATTTGGAGTAAGTGACAACGGATAAGGGCGTGTGTTTACTTTCGACAGGAATCTGGCACTAACATTTCGTGAATGGTGGGTGAAGGGATTGTTGTGCTTGGGAAGGAGTGGGACCTGGCAAATGTAGCGTGTAGTTTTTTCAGTTGATGATCCGTCTAAAATAATCCATTTTCTTCGCTAGAGGTGTTTGTGACGAATTGCGTTCTCTTTCCTTTTTTAAGGTTTAATTTGTTTTTTTCTGCTAATTTTTGAGCAGTTTTAGTCATACGAAAGTGAATTTTAATGATGGTTTTTAGGGTTAGTCTTCTTGTGGAGGGAGACCATTCTCATAGGAAACAAAAACTACTCGGTTGCACTGTATACACTGCTGTTTGGACTGGCTGTCGTTGATTCTGTGTCCAATGTGCTATTCATGCCGTTCATGTCAAGGTTTAGTCCTCCATATCTGAATGCGTATTTCGTAGGCATGGGATTCTCATCGTTGATTCCCAGCATTCTTGCACTCCTTCAAGGTGATTTCACTAAAATTGTGTTCTTAAGTATCACAACAGTTCTCTAGATGTACATAAATTGTGTTAGGAAGCTTTTCATTGTCACTTTCACCCTCCAGATCACATATTACAGAATGTATCACTCGATTTCCTTCCCAGTGCCGTTTTCTCACTTAGAGTCTCCATGTTGTTTTTTGCAAACCGCTGAGAATTTTTCGACAACTCGAGCAGTTGAAGAGCTGAAAACGTGATGGGTTCATAGAACAGACTTTGTTCAATATGATTTTAGGTGTAAACTACTATCCTTTAAAACTATTATTCGCTTTTGAAACTTACTGAGCATTATAATTTCCGAAAGAATGAAAGCAAAGTTCAAATTTTTAGAATTTCAAACAAAATTAGTGTAGCCATAAACACCAACAATGCATTCGGGATATCGCTGTGTTGGTGCTTCCGATCTTTATATTGGAATTATAATCGAAGAAAAAAAGTGACGACCGTACGGTTCCCGCGTTCCGTAAAATCAAGGTTTTGTTTTGGTAGAATGAAAGATTTCGTTCGTCGATAGGCGATCTATAGATTCAAATAGCAATGGCTTCTATTTCAATTAGCGAAGTTCGGTGTTACCTAAGACATTTTTCTTTAAAGTTAGAAACGGCGTAATTTTTGGATCGTGTGAGTCGGAGTGAATTCACATCGGACTATAGGTGTTAAATCAGCATAAAATCAGTGTCTGCCAAAATTACTGAAGACAAAACACTAAAACAGTCTTAACCGTTTTTATTCACTGCCTACTCTTTCTAATAGCAGAGTATGTTACGAAATATAACTTCAATGATGCTGAGATATTTGCAAAACTCCGGATCGCAGGTGTTCGCTGTGGGGAACCAACGCGCTATTGTCCTTTCCGTTGAGTAGCGCGTTCACCACCACACTATGCGCGTCCTTCGTTTCGCTTGTCTCTCAGCTAGTAGCTAGTTCTACCGATCTCTACCATCGGCAAAAACAAATCCATCGTTGAGTCAGAACATTCTTACCAATAGCGTTATTTGTTCTCATCTATAAAGATTGTCTTGTTTACACAGAATTTTTTTACTCTCTTTCGAAACCTTTGAAAAATTTATACAAAAGTCCACCAACATTTATGTACATTTATGTAACGGCGTGTCAATTCATAGCATGCAAAAATAAGAACTATTTTCAAATTTAAGCCGACGAAACTCACTTCATAATGAATTTCATTAGATGCGGTAAAAACCATTAAGGACGAAAAGTATAAAGCTCTGTTGATCAATCTCTGAGAGATTGGCCATACATTCGACTTCATTAAGCATCGTTAGAGGCGTGCGCATGTAGCGCAGTGTTTCGAGGGGCACTGCAATACAAATGGGTTCTAACTCTCGCCCTAAGCACACCAATCCTTTCATCTCTCCAGCGTCGACAAATTGGTACCAGATCTGTCCGGAAGGATAGCACCATTGAGTCCATACTTCTGCAGGCTACTGCGTTTCACTGTATAGGGCAAATATACATTCAATCACCTCTAACGATGCCTAGAGCAGAGGAAAAGAGCATTTTTTAAAGGACCCGTCCTTCACAGGTACTTTGGGGATGCCAGCACTTCTCGCATTCAACTGGCTTCTTCGAATTCATCTTCCGCAAAGGTTTCGCAACTTTGACGTGTGGGTTCGACTACTGCTTGAGGATTTTTCCTTCATCATGAATGTCGTTGAATGCTGGTCGAGCTGATTCTCTCTGGAGTCTTGAGATGTCCTAACTAAAGCATTCGCAATTGGATTTCAGAGAGTGGTTTGTTTTCCCGCACAAGTTCGGTACCAATTTCTCGGCACAAAGGCACGAGAGGTTTGGTGAACGAGAAGCGGGGCAACTAGTGCGGTGCTTGTGATCATCTGATAATCGACATCACTACCAGTATGTTACCAGCTACCCAAAAACCATTAGAATTAAAAATAGCGGCCTACGTTGTAAGTTTTCATGTTTTATATCAAAGCAATTCTGATTTTTTTTTGAGCGTCGCAAGCATATCTAATGTGATTTTTCGCCCCAAGGGTCCTATTTCATGCATAAACGCAATTCATCCAGAAGAATCCGTTCAGCAGAATGTGATGGTTTTCCTCGAAATATGATGAGGTTTGTAGCCTGCGCTCCAGTGTGAGAAATGTCACAAACACAAATCTCGTTTTCAACTTAGTAAATTATTTGGATTCTGAACAAATCTGGTATTACGAGAATACCTTACAAAAATTACACATATCATTGCGGTAGTATTGAATGTAGTAATTGGTTCGATCCTGCGACCCGGGCACACCAACCCTTCCATCCTCCAGGCTCGTGTAGGATAATAACATTGACTACGGGGTACGGGTAATACGTAGGTAGGCCACTGCAAATCATTGCATGGGGAAGCTATCAGATCAGTCGCCTCTAACGATGCTTGACGAAGTCGAGTGCTTGTCGCATCCCCCACGGATTGATCAACGCCGAAAGCTTTACAAATCCCAGCAAGACGACGAAGCAAACTATTTTCTCATTTTGTAATCCTTATCTTCTCCAGTGCTCTATTAATGAGAAACTTATTGTCGGTTGTTAAAAATCAGCTCCATCATGAAAGAATTATGGAATATAGCGTAAAACCAATAGTTCTTTTGATAATATCACCACTAATGGTAGCTTGAGAGCTACAAATTTCAGATGATTCGATCGTATTAATAGTTCCTATAAGCCTATAAAATTCAGCTGCAAAGTTTGGCCAGAACAATTTCGTAGCGTAGTCAACACTTGTTACGAATGGCTCATGCGCTGAACACATAGCTCCATTAACTCGTTTTTCGAAAACTGAAGAGGGTTCTCGGTTATTGAGTTTTTCAGAAGTTGATAGCTACAGGAATTTATAGAAGAGACTTATAGACTTTACTCCACTGCCTTATTCGCATACTTAATTTCCATATAGTGTCCATCCTGCTTTAAATATATTTACAATTAAAATTGTCGCAATTTGGGTGTTCAAAATTTCCAGCAGAGAATCGGCAAATGAGAGCGTGAAGTATAAATTGTGGAACACCATCGTGTGCTACTGAATGAAATCCTGCTTGTTTACTTATTTTTGTGCTTGAAAAACGAGCCTGGGCGAGAAAAAAACTGAGATATGTGCCATTGCGTTGCTAGGATAAAACAACTCGCATCTTATACACAAAGATCTGGAGATTTCAGTAGTTTCTATTTTAAATAATGAAATATGACATGAGCTAAGATATACTAGTTTGAATTTGAGACCGACAATTGTTTTCGCACCCAATGCATTGATCTCGATGCATCTCGTCCTTTGCTTTGTTTTTGTCTCCATTGATAAGACACGATGAACAAAGCAGCGTTAATGATGAAAACAAAGAAGGAAGTTGCTCTTGGTCGTAAGAAAAGAGTCGCTAATTTTCGCTTAATTTAGTGCTTTTCTACTCAGTGATAAGCTTGGCTGAGGTCCAAATTCATTGCGCCCAAAAATAGCAGGATTCGTGGTATTTTATCTAAGGAATTTTACACAACGATACTTTTGTATTTAGATCATCTTAGGAAAACCATGAGAAATTATTCTCATAAATTATTCATCTGTTGATACGAAAGCACCTCTACAGCATTTTTTCACTATTTTATGTTCCATTCTCTCTCTCTCTCGCTTTCTCCCTCTTCCTCTCTTTCCCTCTCTCTCCCTCTCTCTACCAAGTAGCCAAACCACTGTTGATTTCACTTCATAGATGAAAAGGCGTGAACCACGACGGCCAACAGCATAATCTGATTGCATATTCTTTTCAGGGACATCGAATTTCAAATGTATTGGCGAGGAGCCTCATTACCTTCCGCCTCGATTCACTGCAGCAGTTTTCTTTTTAGTTATATTCTTCTCCACAGGCATCTCAACTATTGCTTTTCTGATTCTCTGCACTAAAGTCACGGAGAAGTAAGAATCTTCAGGACATCATTTCTATGGATTCTCATCTACTGCCAATCGCTTCCTCCATTTTATGTTCTCTATAAAACCACCTTAGCATAGAGAAAGCTGTTTTTTGACGCAGACCCTATCCTCTTCGAAACTGTTTCCATTTTATTGGTTTTATAAAAAACCGTTAAATATTTCGGCTTAGATAAAATAATGTTGAGATTTAGGAATCCGACTGAAAGAAGGGAAAATTTAAACGGAGACAGTGGATCAGGGGTGGCAGAAGTCACACATCGAACTGAGGAAACGGTGAGCACATGGTCCAGTAGGCAAATAACAATGACACTGGTTTGTAGAAAACGAAATTAATAACCAGGCACTTAATGATTGTATGTATTATGCCATTTTTAAACAGATATTTCAGTTTTCTTCAACAGAACGAGAACTCTCGGGATCTTCATACGTATTCATCCTGCTCACGGTTTCTGTAATAAATGCTCAAATGAACGGCATCATTCCCAGCATTTCCAGTTTTGCAGCGTTACCGTATTCACAAGTAAGACCTAATAAATTTATTTCTTATCTAAAAGAGATAAAAGACTGTTCATTTAGGACACCTACCACTACAGTATAACTTTGTCCAATGTGATGATGCCACTAGCTTCATTTCTATCGCTCTTCGTTATAATTAGGTAAGACGAAGTTTCACAACGGTGTTTCTCTGACGTCTACGATTTTCCTTCAATAAAACCACTAACCACGAAACCGACGACGTGTCATGAAAATGTAACTGTATAATCACAAGAAGTAATATAGTGCCGTTGTATGTGTTGAAAATTATTACACAAGAGTCGCTGTTCATGTCGTTTCTAGGAATCTTAAAATTCTCGGACTACTATCTGCAATGTCCACATGTGCTACAGCATTTCTAATCTACCTGGCCGCACTGAGCCCCTCCAGGATCTTCAGTTCACAATCTATGGGCAGCGTCCTATCGGTGTGTTCTACCTCAGAAACACCACAATTTCTTAAAGTTTTATTTTTTTCCTTGTTTCATAAAGAGTGAAATCAATTCGACCTCTCGGGAGCCGCTAAATTATTGGTTGGGAGCTAAACAATTATGAGGGGTAACGAAAATTATCCGGTTATAGCGTATCTACCGGTGAGAGGACTAGCTGTTAGCTGTTCTCTTCAGTTTCTTGATATAGAGGACATCCAAATGTGTCGCCTCTTTGTATTCGTTCGTGGAGTTTAAAATTCCTGCAGAACATGGTATAAATAGGTCAAATTCTCTTGTAGAAACTGTCAGGACCATAAAGACAAAACCCGTCGCCTTCTGCCTCGCTGAGATATGAAAATCTAAAGTTATAAATGAACTACATTTTGAGAAAGTGTTCAGACCATAGATAGTGAAAATCATATAAAACTGCATAAAGAAGAGAGATTTCAACACACTATGGGCCTACTCACAATCTACACGTCAGAGTTACCCATCAGCAAGCCCAGCTAAGAGTAAACCAATACTAGGATTGACCGCCGTCCTGGAATCAAACTAGTCGCATATTGGCAAATCTCTCTCTGATCCACAGAGGCGGCGACTGCCTGTGGTGGTGACGACCTAGGGCAGACTTTGACCAAGCTGACATCGGGACTCCAGGAAAACACAGTAGCTAAGCCAGCTGAACTACGAAAAATGGAGATTATGCTGGGGGCCGCATAATCAGTGAGGACAGGCCGTCCAAGTAACCAATTAAGTAATATGCAGCTGGTCGACCACATGGACATATGAGCTGCTGTAACAAAAGACATTTGTGGTTAATATTCCCTCCTTGACATTTAGTTTGATTTTTCGCAAAACCGAAAATGGTTTTTTGCAAATTGCTAATGGTTCTCCGGTAACTAGAGCACTAGGAAAATTGAAAACATGGTAGATTTATAGAAGAGAATTCGCTATAACGTCGCTGAGATATTTGCAAAAATTCTGGACCGCAGGTGTCTATGGTGGAGAACGAGCGCGCTATAGTCCTTTCCGGGGAGTAACGCGTTCACCACCACACCATGCGGGTCCTTAGTTTCGCCTGTCTCTCAGCTGGTTCAATCGATCAGCGCAATCAGCAATCACCTGTCAACGGGATTGATCTGGGTAGTCGACATGCCGCTGACTGATAGAACTAGCTGAGAGACACGCGAAACGAAGGACCCGCATGATGTGGTGGTGAACGCGTTACTCCCCGGAAAGGACAATAGCGCATTCGTTCTCCACCATAGACACCTGCGGTCCAGAGTTTTGTAAATATCTCAGTAACGTTTTGGTCGTATTTCGCTTAGTACCTGCCGTGGAAATTGTAGTAGGCAGAAAAGAAAAGGTAAAACAGAATTCGCTATATTTGGGAAAGTACAGTTAAGTAGTAAAACTATTGCATTATTTTCCAAGTCGTTTATAATCAAAACCACCAGAATTGACCAGCAGCAATAAACAACGCATTTGAATTCACCATCTGCTCTAATAGATGAAATACCGCCTATTCAACTGCATTCATTTCCCAAATAAAAGCCCAACGAGAAAGAAATAAGGGAAATACGATTTCAAAGTTCTCCAAAATCAGAATTCCTTCTTAGAAACATGAAAGATATTGTTTGTCATTGAACAGATCTGTGATTATAACGGTTTCTAATCCAATTAACGATTCTAACTTTGAGTTGAGATACATAAGGCTAAAGTTGGAAGTGGCCACCATTTCCGTACTGCCTAAGTGGAAATCAACTCACGTTGCACCACAAACGTTAAATAATTTCCTTCAACTTCATTACCTATCTTCGAATCACTTCTGGGCTTTAAGCACCGAAATGTTTGCCACGGAAAAGTTCACACAACTGTTTCAATTTCACTGCTTCTACAGTTCTGTTCCCGTTCACTAAATATTTGCATTTTCTTCGTACGAAAGAAAGAAGAATATTTATTTATATGATCTTAAGCCATTGCGAGCTTGGTATAGGTCTTCGCTGTCGTTGTCATTGTTGCCGTCGTTGCTGTCGGTGTTGTTGGTCGATGGCTGACGTTTCGGAGATTTCACCTTCTTCACAGCCGTGGTGTTATGAGTGGGACTCCACTCCACAGTCTCGTAACAGCACGGCTCTGAGGAAAGCAATCGCCGAAACGTCAGGCATCGACCAACAACACCGACAGCAACGACAACGAAGACCTATACCAACCTCGCATTGGCTCAACGAGATCAGTTTATAAGTTCATATAAATAAATATATCAACTATTTATGTCGTTTATAGGAAGTCAGTGTTTTGAGTTATGAAGAAAAAATGTATGGCGAACTTTTTTTAAACAGCCATCTGCGCTCTTCCTGAAGTCTAGAAAAAGTTCGGTGAGAACTATGTAACCACTCTGTATGATTACGTTGGATGCAAGACGTTGAATGAATGGCAGAAGTTCCATGATAATGGTGGCTCGATTATTTAACAGGAATCAAAAAACGATCTATAGTGTTCTCTCTGTTTCTAGGAGAAAGCATAGTGAACAATTTTACTGCTCAGCAGGTGTGACCGCAGTATAGCAGTGCACAGCTGTAATCATCAACTTACAGTTTATGTACAGGTTTTGGTTCTCTTCACGCCACCTTTGTCATTCTAGATATCAGCATCCTTAGTAGCATCTGGACTACATTCCTTCCTGCGAATAGCATTTGCATCTCGACTTCGTGAGTGCGGCGATGATGAATCCCGTTTATTTTGGTGTGGAGTGTTCACTCAGGTATGTCCATATTATACTTTGTAATACTTGCATGTAAATATGACACTCGCAGAAACCTAGTGTTCCCTATAATTCTTTATTTTTGCTAAAACTGATGCTAAAACAGCACTATGCAGCTATAAACATTCCCTAAATGTACATATTCTGATGTACCAATTTACCTTCTACCGAACGTCACCCTGGAAAAACTGACCCCACTGTGCTATGTTCTAGCTGGATGATTCAAAACTTAAGAGATATCCTGTATTCTTCTTTCCAAGGTATTTACATAAAACAACATCTTCAAGATAGGATCATCCACTGGTTCAATGGTAATGCTGGTCGTCAATATTAACGCTGTTTTTAAATCCGCTCCTCCGTGCCGGTGAATCCGAGGGATTTTGTATGAAGGTGCTTGTTTATTTCGTAATATGCTTAGCAACAATTACTCAAGAGACAGCTACTAGTTCTTCAGTTTCATCGACCAAGGCAAACACGCAACTGTCTACGTATATCACAACACAGCAGAATAACACCATCGCCAATCTCAGCATACGAAATTGATATTTGTTACATATATAAGCGTATATATATATATACCTATATATGTATATATGCATATATATATGTATATATTAAGCAGATGTTTTGTGAGAGACAACAAGAACAATAAATTTTAATCTTCTTGTTAACAGCAAAAGCAGACGGGTAAGTATATAGAATTGAAACAAATTAACGATCTCATCAAAACAACTGCCCCATCGTTCCGGGCTAAGATTCTGAAAGTTAACGGCCTCATCTCACTTACTGCCTTAAAAAGGAATCCTCTGGATCTTATATGTATATAACCTTACAAGCTGTTAAACGATAGTTACTCCTTTCCTATACTTCTGTGAATGGCTTAGCAGAATATTCTTAATAAAGCAAGCCAGCCATTCGGTGCCGCCAAATAGAAAACAGAAAAATAATCACAGCAACAACAGCAACAGCGTTCAAGCATTAACGTTTATCCTTTGGAGTGACGGTGGGAATTTCGAAAACGCGTCCCTAGCTTGCTTAAACGCATGTCGAATACGACCGATTGTGTAAGACTTTGTTATGCACCTGCAATTAGGGAAAAATTCATGTAATATTGCAAGTTTTTTCACTTTGCAAAACTTGGTGAAGAAATCCTAGTCATCATTAACAGGTGGAAACGAGGTTACTAGATCTCATTCAGATGCATCAGCAAAATGTAGCTTCACTTACGAGACTTTGTTACGCTAAGTTACGGTCAGGCGCTCGACAAATGCTCGATAAATCACTATTTTCCGATAAGTAGCCAAGTACGGTATCAATTCACTAACTTTGGAGGAAAGAGGGAAAGGATTGGGAGGCTTTGAAATCGAGTTCAGTCCGTCTGTGTACACTTAAGAATTGTTCCCCTTCATTACTTGTTCCTTTATTGCCAGCAATAGGAAACTGAATCCCTAAGGCCCTTATTAATCCGCAAATCACATCAAGTTTGGTAACAGGATCTAAAAGATCAAAATACGCTGTTTGTATTATAGTTCTTTTTATGTCAAGAGAAACTCCGTCACAAAATATCGTTGGCGTACGAACTGTTGTACAATGACCTATCAACTGTTACACAGACACATCATTTCCTTCAAAATCGTTAGACCATTTTCTGTTTCCAACACTCGCCTCAAATAAGCAGCAGTATGACCGAGTATTCAGCAATCTGTGCACTGGATGAGAATAACTCCATGCGTTTTATAATTCCCTTAGATCTGGGATTCCAATTATAAATCTTTTTAATAAATTTTGTCGTCGGAGACTTCAACGAAACAATATGAAATGTGAAAACCTACAGGAAACGAATACGGGATAGAAAGCTTTGGAATAAGGAACGGGTATGGAAATGGGAACCATCGTGTTGGGCTACTATCCATCGCACAAGGATTTAAAAAATAAATAAATAAACAAACACGCTGCTGGACATGGGAAACATTTGGCAGCGCTGCTCATCTCGAAATCAATTATATCTTTACAAACAGAAGAAGCCGCATCCATGACTCCTTAATTGCACCTCTTTCCATGGATCCAATCATTTCAATTCCCGTATGAATATCCGGTCTTTCCACCTGCTTCAAGAATAAGAAATAACTGCATAAAGAGCAATTTTTGGAAGAAATTTTAAAGCTAACCAAAAACGCTGCTGAATATGTCTCAATTCTTCATCTGATGTTCACCACTGAGAAATCACATCAGAACGAAAAAAAACTGCATCCAAATACAGTGTACTTCACAGTGTTGGTAGCAAATGCAACCTTTAGGAAATCCTTGTAGAATTTGCAACGGTATACGAATAAGAAAGGTTGAAGGAGATCTAAAGAAGCAGTTTGAAGAAATGACGTCTCCGATAGTGCATTATTCCAGCAATGGATATGGAGAATGAACACAGCCTTCCTTTCCATTATATGGAAGTAATACACCAACCTTTCAAATATCCTAACCTTCATATTCTCACATCTGAGCACAACGTGCTCGCTTTAGAAAATTCACCTCGGACTTTCTGCTCGCAACGCGAACAGTAGAACTGAGCGAAGACAATCCCACAACGTTGACCTTCACAAAGAATTTTGTAAACTCCGGTTAAGCACAAATCCCTCTCCTGCAGTATTTTGGTGCTCTGCCAAAACCTTTTCCCTTAATTCATATACCATGGGCCTTACCGATTAGATTTGTAGCACCGGTGTGTTATGGTATATGTCACTCGATAGGAAAAAGCGTAAACATCAGTTCTACCAAACGACAGGGCGAACGGAAATTTCGTTAGTTACAGTCGCGCTATTCAATGAGTACTGGTTAGCCCTCCTAGAAACTTAATTTCTAGAGAAGTGTAAACTACAACTACAAAAAGAAAAGGAAAACCTGGCAGTATTTTTTCCGTCAAATGGTTCTTCAATGAAAACACGATAGATGAATGCCTCCGGCGTCATGTTTGCCCTGCAGTATCAAACAAAGATATGAGAACTTAAAAATCTAGAGACTGCAAATCACGGCACGTAAAACACTCTTTCAAAGTGTCATGTTGTAAAATGATATGGACGAGAAGAAATCACCTCGAAAACACACAAGCATCTCGCATTGATATTGCGACATTTTCGAAATCAAAGGCAGCGTAGTAGTGGAAGAATCCAATCAAGAGTTCTCCAATTGACTGATTGTTCTGCTTCCTTGCTAAAAAAAGTAAATTCAGTGAATTTCATAGAAATTCTAACGTATTGATGAGGGAATTGGAACTGTACCAGTCATGAAAAACAAATTTAAACCCTTACGTGGTAAACGCTCCAATGTTTGAAAAAGGTTCAGTTCGCTAAGTGGAGGCATACATCCGAACTTATCAGGATAGAGATACTGTAAGACGATATATAACAAACTATGCATAGAAATTATTAACACACTTCCGACAAAAAATAACTTCACCTGCAAATTTGGCAATACTGCTGGTTTCACGCCACATTGGAAGTAGTGCAGAACTAACAGAATGAGCGAGTAGCTGCAAAACAGGTTAACACTATATATAAATAAATATATATATATACATATATGCATTTATGCATGTACACATAAACATATACATGCATACACATGTACGTATATATATATATATATATATATATATACATATACATGTACATATATACGTATATGTATATATATGTACATATATATATATGTATATATATGCATATATATAAGATGATTTTGCGCCTTTTAGTGACATAAAAAATGAAGCTTTATAGTATAAAAAAACCCAAAAACTAGACCTACCTATTAAATGATCCGGTTGAAGCATCACCAATTCCATTAGTTATTGCCCAATGCTTCACTAAAAGACATACAGCAGGGAATCGCTGATCTAGTCTGAACTATGTAGACATAGAAATCAATGCAGTTCTGGCACTTCAGAGTTCCTACCAGTTAAAAGTATGGCATTCTGACAACAAACTCAAATCCGAGTTTTCATTCAACCTCCTAGGAAAATGGAAATGAATTTATCCATGATTGGCCCTCCGTTCCTCGAAAGACTCTTTTATATTTACCTGTTGCAATAAACTCTACCACAAAACCTCTCGGTGGTTCAATGGGATTATAATTCTCAATCTTCAAATGTACAAAGAACTCACAGTGAATAATGATGGATGAGATGAGAATTGTAAATACCGGCGATATTGTTAACATTAACATCTAGTTCGAGTCCTTCATAAGGTGGATGTAAAGCCATTTTAATAATGGGGACCTGAATTTGCAACATCAACACATGTTCACCATTATATCTATCAAATACATAGAAAAGGATAAAACCCTCGACGTTGGTTTATTCATTAAAGATCGTTGGAGGTGACTGAGTGTATATCTGGCCTTTACAATGACTGGCACTGGCCTACCGGCGTATCGAGTGAGTGCTGTTATCATCCCAGACAACTTTGGCACCAATTCACTGACACTGGAGTGATGGAGGGACAAATGGGCTTGGACCGCAGGGATCGATTCCAAGTGTATTGCAGGGCGCCTCTAAACACACAACCAGCGCTACAAGCGCTCCGTCCACCAATCACAATTGGCATGATCGACAACTCTTACATTCGTAATGCGCGAAAGATGTAATTGTTCACTATTTTTAATTTACGTTTAGACCTCGTTGGCTGGATGATACGATCCATCAAAACTCTTGGAACGCAGTGATCACTTATCCATACACCTCATTTTACGAACATCGCTCTCTTACAGATAATGTGAATGGCAAATTGAATTCCCAAACTAATCTGTGGTGCTCTCTACTTAAGAAGACGTGTTCCTCCTACTTCAGATCTCTATTCAACGTTAAATCCAATGATCACTCTCCACAAAAAATGAATCCGCCATTCCTATCGTACTTTCCCTGTCCACTTTTCTTCTTTAGATATCTTTCGAGTAATAGCCATATTTCCTATTTCCTACATATCATATGTTCGTTCAAGTATTTTCCCACATTTCTTGTAACATCTCCATACTAAGTGGAAAATGAAAAACTCTTCCACTACCCTGCTACTATTTTGATCATTGTTAATTACATCCGTAAAAAAACTTGGAACATACTTCGACCTTCTTAAGAATATTTTTCAAATACTCATCTATAGCGTACAACAATCATGACTCACCATAAAAACTCGAAACGAAAGGATAACTCTACTATTCAAAAACTGAATCTTAAAGACTTGAGTAATATGAATGGAAGACAAACTGAACCTCATTTCTGAGCTGTTCCTCATGTGGAGCGAACAAAACTAACTCGAAAAAACTGCAAGAAGTGGGCAATCCCGTGCTCCTCATCGCATAATTTAGAGAAAGCGAATCGGAGGATGACGATAACGGTAATGATAAGTTTTTCATCAATAAGCAGACACGAGGTTGTTAATATAGAATTTATTAGAACACAATTGCTGACGTTTCGGCGGTTTCGCCTTCTTCAGAGCCTGGAAAGGTCAAATTGAGATGCGATCTACTCAGCCAAACACTTTCACAACCCTAGCAGATAAAACTTGATAAATCGATTTGTATTCGCATAAGAAACAGCTTCATTCAAACACCTACCGTTTATTTGTTGTAAGTATTTAAGTTATTTTTCAAAAAATTCAAAAATGAACCGCAAGGAGGAGTGTCTTGTCATCACGCGTGACCTAGCGCCATACCTCAGGCTGATCCAATGATCTGACATGGACCCAGTTATCGACCATGTATTACTCTGTGCGGCGGCTATCCACCAACTAACTTAAATACTTACAACAAATAAACGGTAGGTGTTTGAATGAAGCTGTTTCTTATGCGAATACAAATCGATTTATCAAGTTTTATCTGCTAGGGTTGTGAAAGTGTTTGGCTGAGTAGATCGCATCTCAATTTGACCTTTCCAGGCTCTGAAGAAGGCGAAACCGCCGAAACGTCAGCAATTGTGTTCTAATAAATTCTATATTAACAACCTCGTGTCTGCTTATTGATGAAAAACATTGAATTATCAATTAATGCCGAGGTTAACAGAAAGTCGGTCATGGTAATGATAAGCTTCCTAGCAATGTAAAAATGTAAAAGAGATATCTATGCAGGTGGAGAGAATTTAGAAGCTGGAACTGTAGCTGGGACTGTGATAGCGAAGCTCATAGACAACATGCTAGACGAAGAAGGAACTATACACCAACAAATGGTGCATGGGCGATCCGTTAGCTGATTGCATGCTCCAGAAAAATTCCATAAGTGCGGAGAAAGAGGACGACCTTTCTAAGCAAGATACTTAGCAATAATTGAAAACAGGACAATTTAATAGAATCAAGTCGGCATAATGTTGCAAACATACAATCGCAACGAAGCTTGCTTTTCAATAATAAACATAATTTCCCGATCACCACTCTTTTTTTTAAGCAGCAGTCCAATCCACACACAAGTTGGAAGACCTTGGTACATGGTGGATGCAGAAAATGAATCGAATGCATGAAGTGTTTCTGGCATCAGCGTAGTGTGATATAAGTGATGCGAAGTTAGGTAGAAGAGATAAAATAAAATATGAAGGTAGAAGCCACCTTCTTATAAAGTCCCCAGTCCACGACACCGTGCATGGCGCGATTTTCTCTTTTAATTAAATGAAGACCTACTACAAAAGAAAACTCTCAGTTTGGAACAAACAACCAGGCGTCATTCTATCGGCCCTATGTCACGTCTTTGTGCAGTCTAGCTATGCACAGTCCTTCTTCCTGTTAGACACTCGAACGAGTTTAGTGAATCATAGAGGATTATGTGCGAGAATAACTGAAAAATCACGAAAAGTTGATTATAAATTATCAGAATTCGATCATACTTCACCCAGCTGCAAATCCGTACTGATTTTAATCTATCACTTTCTCGAAGTTATCGAATGAAACGAAAAAGTGGGGTAAAAATCAGTGCAGCAAAGTCATCAACAATAGAAAAATGTATAATGGATGATTCCTATGGTTCCATCTTCGCAAAATAAAATTCTTTTCAACAAGGGAAGATAATCCACTTTTAATACAAATAATCTGCAATTCCCAATACGCACATTAATATTCAGGTGACAATTCAGCTCTTGGGGCAGACTTTGATCAGGCTGTCCTCGGGATTCCAGGGAGCCATAATGGCTTAACCAGCGAATCTCCGAAAAATGGTGATTATGCTGAGGCCCGCACAACTAGTGAGGACGAGCCGTTCAAGTATCAAGTATCAAACAAGTCAGTTCTACTGTCGAAGACTTTGCAACTTCAAAAGCTTAACATGAAGTGTTCTCAAATGGTGTGATCGGTACATCTCGCCCAACGAATATATGAAGTGATAGCATGAGTCAAGCAACGAAAACCTCTTTGCCAGTTCAGCCAATACAACAGACATCCAACTTCTACTTAAGAATTCTACGAGTAAACTATTCAGTAAGCCTACCTTAGCTTGCAAAAGTATTACGAGTACAAATGGATTCGGTTGAGCAGATATTTGTCCATAGACTATAAACCTTCTCTTTATTTCTATGCAAAAAGTGAACGATATAATGTGGTAACAACTCCACGAAAAACGTTGCTATGGCCGTGCTCATGCCAAAACCGTTGGTGAAAGAGGCTAAGTTGATGTTCTCAAACGTAGCAATTTAATACGACACCAGTTGGTTCGTCGCCCACCTCACAAAAATCAATAAATTAGGACGATGAATTGATTACCACCACTTAGAAACCACCAAAACAGAAGAAGAGACCCGTCGAGATACATTCAGAAGAAAAATGCGTAACAATTCTGGTGTCTGTCACATACGGAAGATAATGGATGGAAACGGTCAATAGTTAACAAACAGTTGGTACAGGCAAGTGTAATATAAAAAACAAATACACCGTACCTTAGCTGGAATGACTTCACTTCTACGCACAATTCTGCGCAAAGAAGGCTTCCCTCTAATGATGGAGTTCAGTCTATGCAAAGTTTTCACAGCATACCTTAAAATCAGTTAAAACTCCCTTAACTTCACAGACAAAACTTTAGCAAAACTGTAAGAAACCGACACATATCTTTGCAAAGAGCGACACATAAACAAAGAAAGAAGGCCAGAAGTCCACGCATATTTTAAAATGACTGGGCGATAGTTGCCTAAATCGTGGAGATCACCCTTCTTGAATAGTGAAACAGCCTTTCTAGTTTCCTATTCAATAGAAACCTTGAATTTTCGCAGGTAATGTTTGAATAGTCGAACCCGCGTGTTTTATGAGGACCGGCGAACGGCTCTTCAGGTGCTCAGGTCTTGTAGTGCTGTCATATAGAGTCATTTAGTGCGAGGTATTGTTCGATTGTTCACCAACGAAATGGGATATCGGATTTCGGAAAGGAGAAGAGGTAGTACAACACATGCAACCACCTTCATTTCATATAAGGGAAATGCGACGAGGCTATCAAAAAGATCCAAGTGGTAATCGTGAGTGATTTTCTCCATTACCTTTCTGGAAGCTGTACGTGTTCCATTTGGGCGTTGAAGTACAATGATCTTGGTCCCGCACATGGGAAAGTTTCGGTGGTCTTCATGAATACTCTTCCTAACCTCTGCTGCTTCGGCCATAACTATTGATCTTCTCTCTTTAAGCTCTTCTTTTACCGGCTGTCTGAATTGCTTCGCGAGTTTGGACTTGAGTTCGCAGTTGCCTGTTGCTCGTGCCATTCAACGTTATCGTATCAGCTCGAGTGTTCTGAAGACTGACGTCGCTAGGCCACTTTCGAACTCTCATCTTTCACAATGCTAATGTGAAGACGTTGAATTAACCGGTAGCATTCTACGTCGATGTGATCAATAATGGGGTCTTCCCAAAAAGCGACCAATAATGTAAGTTAATTCCAGTTTAGTTTAGTTTAAATTCCGGTCTTGCGACTTGGTTTTTGAACTTAGTGTTTTCTGTCCTTTCAGCGAGACATGGAAAATATCGCGAAGTAGGAGGTTATGTGATCTCGTATAGAATTCTAGGATAACAGTGCCATCGGTAGGGCAATGCCATCGATTTACAATGATGTGGTTTCTTTTGTTGTTGTACTCTCCACTGGAAAATTTCAACGTATAGCGTTGAGGGTGGGGCTCTTAGAATTGCGGGTTAGCATGAATGATCTTGGTCGTCATGATACATTCATGCAGCCGCCTATTGTGTTCGTTCCATTCTAATCTGTGGGCGCCAATGTGACGTTCTTCAGACGTTCTTCTGAGTCCAAAGTTAGCGTGAAAATCTCCAAGGATGACCTTAAAGA